AATTTACATATGATACATTAGGCCAGTAAGATAATACATATCTTAGGTTTCGAATATCTAATAATTCTTTTTACAGTGTTCTAGGTTGTTTAAATGGTCTTTGGGTCCATTTATAAGATTTCTTTGGAAAAAAAAAGAAAGGAATGATCCCCTAGATATTCCAGTGTATGTTACATATGTAGAAATCAACCTAGAAACAATGTCCCGAAATGAAAACAAAATCCTGAGAAACTACAATTCCGTAAATCAAGTAATAAGTCAATAATTTCAAAACTCGAAAACATTACGCGAATGTTATAATACACGAGGCAAATCAATAAATACCCATGTTTGAAGACAAGTGACGTTGCTGATGCAAGTTGACATTACCATCGTGTACTACCATCTTTCAAATGACGCTATACAAAATTTCAGAGTGATTCAAGCAATAGTCTTGATTTGACAGCAATTTGTAGTGAGAGTGTTTGATGTTTTCCGATACAATGGAAAAAGAACAATATCGATTCGTGATTCGTGATTCGCTTTTTATTTTTGGATGGAAAAACGTGTGAAGAAATAAAAACGAAGTTGGATACCGTCTATGGGAACCCTTCACCATCTATGACAACCGTCAGATATTGGTTCAACGAATTCAAACGTGGTCGTTCGTCTGTTTTTGATGAGGAGCGCCCAGGCCGCCCGGCAGACGTGGTTACTGAGGAAATCGTTGAAAAAGTCCACGACATGATTCTCGCTGATCGCTGAACGAAAGTGCGTGAAGTAGCAGAGGCCATAGGCGTGTCGTATGGAACGGCATTCAATATTTTGCATGATAATTTAGGAAAAAGCTGTCGGCCCGATGGGTGCCGCGATTGCTCACGGTGGACAACAAGCGAATGCGGCTATCAATTTCAAAGCAATGTTTGGAGCTGTTCAAGCGCAATCCGAAGGAGTTTTTGCGTCGAGTAGTAACCGTTGATGAAACATGGATTCATTACTACACACCGGAGACCAAGGTACAGTCAAAACAGTGGATTTCACCCGGCGAATGTGCTCCGAAGAAGGCCAAGATGGTCCCATTGGCCGGAGAAAAGTGATGGCTACTGTTTTTTGGAATACACAAGGTGTAATCTTCATCGACTACATGGGGAAAAGCAAAACTATCACGAGACAGTACTATACTGACTTATTGGGCCGATTCGACGTTGAATTGAAGAAAAAACGCCCCCATTTGGCGAAAAAAAAATGTTGTTCCATCAGGACGATGCACCGGCTCACTCCTCCGCAGTCGCCACAGCCAAATTGGTCGAATTGCGGTACGAATTGCTGCCGCATCCACCGTACTTTCTGGATTTGGCCCCCTGCGACTTCTTGTTTCCAAACTTGAAAAAATGGCTCGATGGAAAAAAATTCACGTCGAATGAGGAGGTCATTGCCGAAACAGAGGCCTATTTTGCAGAGTTCGACAAATCGTATTTTTCGGACGGGTTAAAAAAATGGCAGAAACGTTGGAAAAAGTGTATCCTCCTAAAAGGGGATTATGTTAAAAAATAAAAAAAAGTTTTGTGAAAATCTTGCGTCTTCATTACTAACACGGGTACTTATTGATTTGCCCTCGAGATCATTATCTTCTGAGAAAAGAAGAAAAATGTGTCTAAGTTTCTCATTCGTTTTTTATTCTGAGGATTTCAGGAGGACTGTATTCGCGGGATGTTGTCTCTATATACTATATTCTAAGAATAATGATAAGACATATGTACATATAAACACGATTTGAACTACAAAATGAACAGTAATATTAATGGTGTTGGGAAAACCCTCTAAAAATGTGATTCTGATTTCATGGGCATTTTCTCAAAGAGTATATTAAAAAATAATTAATTTGCGCATTGAATAAAAGTATAATGCGAGAAAAGAGAGATTTTCTCGTTTTGTAAAGATATGATTCCGCACACACCTCTTGTTTAAATATCTCTTGTGCCATAGCTATGCGTGTCGGTAAATTATAAAGTTCCAGAGAGAGAATGCGAAATAGTGTGCGATTATTGTTACATATAGTGAATGATATTTCAATTACATGTATATTGACATTAATTTCATTCCAAATAAAACAATAACAGTATGCGTTTTCTGATGCAATTTTCTAACGAGCATGCAAAGTCCCGAAAGACGCCACGAAATGTAAAAAATGGCACAAAACTGTTCCAAATCAATAAATATAATTAAATTAAACGAAACAAAATAAACAGTTTGTGGTTCCAACAAATATACTAATATTAAAATCGTGAAATTTTTCGACTTTGCATATCTTCAAAAATCGCAGGAAAAATATATTCCATCGTATTATTTCTCTTACGGTGATTTCGAGATCATAATTTTTCAGGTCATTTTTTAAGTTTCGAATAATGACTTTTTAGGATTTTGCATACTCACTCCGCTGTTTTAAAGATGCTAACCTAGGATGTGTAATCTCTTTGATAAAGAATTGCAAAAATTGTATTTAAAAGTAAGATTATTTTCACAGAATTCCAATATGCAAGATCTTGCAGAAATAGAACTCAAATTATTTTCAACATCACGCAGAATAAGATTATTTTTTTCAAAAGTATTCATATGATACAAAAATTAGTATGTTGCAAGGTTTTAAAAAGATTTTCAATTCTGTTTATGCATCTTAGGATTCAACTGGCATCATATAGATTTTTTTCATACTGCTAGTCATGAATTTTAATATTTTAATAATAGAACTTGAAAGAGATATTCCTCCATATTTGTTCTCAGTGTATAAGATTTAACGCTCACTTAATTTCTAATTTCAAGTAAACTTGTAACGACATCTGTATCTACGTACACCGATTTGTAATATAATAATAATATTCTAAAGAAAGTAAACTGAGAAAAAAAAGCAGAAAAGATGATAGATATGATTAGTTAATAATATGTATTACTGTTTGTTTTTATAAGTTTTAATAATGCGCTAGTTTTTGTTTTCACAAATTTATATTTTATTTCTCAAAACAAATTGTCCTTAAATAAATTTAAAAAGCTATTTTTTGTTTTCTTTTTGTTTCCTCCTTTCCTTACGTTTTTTTTTTATTCAACGCACTCATTCTGCGCTTTATGAATTATATAGTGTATATATTGCATGTATCATTTGATGTATGGGTATATCGTACTATCAGCGAAATCCAATTACACTTTGTATCACTATAAGACGAGTAAAATCGCATTAACACTGTTATCTCATATTTAAGATTATATGTATATACGTAAAACAGAAACATGAAACGTTTAAAGATTCATCAATTACTTTCTCAAGTGCTTCGAAAATATTTTTTCTTGCAATACGAAATCATGTATTGTGTTGAAGCAATTTAGCCTTGCCTTATACGATATATCACATTTAGCGAAGTTTTGAGATATGGCGTATGATACATGGGTACCGAACGGGTTAATGCACGTTATATTTGTTTCGCGTATTCGTGATTGAGCTTCATTAATTCCGGCGAGCAGAATGTTTCAGCTATTTTATGTTCGAAATCCGTGAATTCCTTCCGTTTTATATACTGTTTGCACGGGCATTTTTTCTCGCGCTTTTATTGGCCAATTTAGTTAATATCAGAGTACGGACATGTGGGCATGTACGCGCCCGCGAGATTCCATGAAATATCCTGATCGTGGCAAATCGCCCATCCTCCCGATCTGTACCATTACACCCACCATCTCCCTTCTGTAATCCTTTCCTCTCCCACGCCAGCTTCTCGTCGCGTACTCGTAACCTTGGGCATTCTGTAATTTAGCAAATTGTTGTGGACTCGACGAAAAGAATCGTTCGATTCACGAGTGCTTCGCCAATAGCGATGATCGGTATCGCTCGCCGCGCTTGGACGACTCGAGCGCAAAAAAGGATAAATAAATAAATAATCGAAGAATCGAGACGAGATAAGGATGTCTCGCGAATTCCTTCGGTTGAGGCAAAAAACTCTGATCTCGCACGCGACTTGATTGTTTCGGGAGATGGTAAGTTTGATTCTTCGAATTTTCTCGAATGATTTAACTAAAGTATATTCAATCATTTGAATTCGATAGTTACTATGAGTAAGATCAGTGAATAAAAGTAAAACAAAAATTTGTCGAATACTTTTAGATAGATTTTATACGTTCGTATTATAAAATTGTATAATTGTATTTCAGTATATTGCATTGTATATTTGATTTTAAAAAATCGTTTTTAAAATTATAAAAATTTTATTTTAAAATTATGAATTTTTTTCATTTATAATTTGCAATGTTGTATCATCAGCGTTTTTATGTTGGTTTATTGCTAAGCGAATTATACATCGTCAATTTAAATATCGCTATTTGAAGATCTATAATCAGCTGATACGCATCCTTATAGAAAGCTAATCAACGTCGCTTAAAAAAAAAATCTCGGCGAAGCAAGCGCGAATCGAGAGACTTACGCAGCGATACGGCAGGGCTGAAAAAATGAAGAGAACGAGCGATCAGACGACCACGACGACGAAGATCGATAGTCGCGTGGATTTAATTGCGAATTACGCGGTAATGATTACCGCTCGCCCTTTCCTTGTTTTGCAGCAATAATAATTAATAGCCAATCGCCTCGTTGGCCCCTGCCCCGCTATCAGCGAGTCCACATCGTTGTTAGACTTAGACAACATCTACCTGATGATGAAGCAATATATTGATGCGATTTATAAAACGAAAGAAGAACCGAATGAAAAGTAGAGAGCGAAAGAGAGTGAAAGAGAGAGAGAGAAAGAGAGAGAGAGGGAGAAAAAGAGTGAATGGAAAATAGCAAATGAATGAGAAGAGCAGCGTGTATGGGATAAGAAAAAGGATAAGTCGAATGTTAGGTGTAGTCCAATGTACTGTATTATGCGTCTTCTAGTTAAATTTTTATGTTTTCTAATTCGTTGTGAACGAATGTTTTTTGGTATAAATATATAAATATATATAAAAATAAATGAATCTATATATATTATATATTTAAATTCTAGACTACGAATTCTAAGTGAGAAATCAATCAACGAGCTGCGTGGCGGCTGCTATTATATCTCGCCGCGAAAAATTCACGAGCAACCGACGATGTATCGTCTTATGAGTGTGACAATCGAGATCCACGAAATGTGACATGTTTGCTTAAATGCATATCCTGAGCGCGCATTTAACGCTGAATGCGACCGAATCATATTTGTCCGATACAAAAGAGATGAAGCTTAGTATAAAAAGACAAGGTGGCAATCCTCGGACGGCCACATTCCAGCGATACTTGCGCGATACAATCACGAGTCTTACGTGTCTCGCAGAGGTGAAATCATTCCGAAAAGATGAAAGAAAAAAAATCGGCAATTGTCCAAGATTGCCGAATCGCAATACTTGTTAGCTCATTGCCGATCGGCAACATCGGGGAAGCCATCCAGCCGCAAGTCGCGGTTTGCGCGCGCATTTCTCGTATAAAAATACAATTAACTCTGTAACTACTAGCCCTTTCGAGAGGAGCACACTGCCGCCACGAGACAAATTCAAAGGGAATTAAGAAGCGAGGGAAGCCATGAAATAAAGAGCTCGAGCGGATCTCGATCATGCAAACCGCGTAGATTTGTATACGGGTGCGTCCGCACTCGTGCACCCGTACTGCGCCGATTACGTATATGACGAACGCCATACACAAGTACCTCATGATACAAAACACATGTACAAATGTTCATACGTTTTCAAAATAATATTAGCTAATTAATAAATAATGAGTATCCAATGGTGACTGACTCTGTAACGTTAATGAACTTCCCACCCCTCTCCTATATCCGCCATTCAATATTCTTTTTCCTTTTCTCTCCGTAAGTATGTGTCTCATTATTATACATTTTTCTTATTGCGTCGAACGTCCGAAAGATAGTGATTTACCACGAGGACAATCGTTGTACGCGAGCGAGACGATCAGCGAAGGTACCACGGTAAGTATTCGTGAAGAGGGAAAATTATAGTATAATAACACACATATACACTTGCACGCACATAACATAATAGAAGCTACAGTATCACAATATACTTGCATTATAACGCGCATAACAGAGTAATTTATTTAATGACTTGTGTCGCTGTTTACGACATTTAAGCGATGCGGCAAGGCCGTTAAATAATTATCGGCGTTTGAAACACGCAAGTCGCTCCATAATAAGCATTTCTCATGGCGTGACGATGGGGTGAGATAAATTTACACAGGAAAGCTTAAGGAAATATAAGTATTAGCAGAATAAATTTAATGTCGCTCTTTCTTTGGATAGGATTTAATTTGTAATTACCTAAAGTAATGTCGATAATTAAAGAATAATGATATTAAACGTAGAAAATTGATGAAAATATTTTTGATCAAAAGAATTCTATTTAATATATCAAGATTTATATCAATAATTAATATCGTATTATTAATCCATTAAATTGTTAATCTATTAACATATAGATTTTAAAGATAAATTAATTTATTTTCATCAGTGTCTCTTCATTTATCTGCGTGTTGAAGCTGAATAATGATCGGTTAAGCATAAATTAACGGAACATTGCCGTCTGGAATCACTTTCTGAAATAATTACTACTTTTGTATACCTACTTATCGTGCACGAAAGGTGTCACGCATGTAGTTTTCAGAATAAACATCTTTCGTATTTAGAGCGATTTTCCTGACGTGCGTGACGAACGAAAAAATTATTCTCTCTCCTCTCACAGTCAACCCTCTCTACCATCGATATTTTTCAACCGATTACCGCGATCGGCTTAACGCACGAAGATTACCGCCGCGTTCTCGCATCCCGTGATAAATAGCAAGATTACGAGTCTGCGTGTCGGCCAATGAACGATGCCCTTAGCCCATGGACCATATGTTCCTCCAAGGCTGTGGGATACTCGCCAGGGCTTGAATCGTGTTAACGCGCAACATTTTGAGCGAATCGCACCATTAAGAAGCGATACATTGATGAAAGTACAAAGATATAAAAATAATAAAAATTTATATGTTTATGGCATTAATTAATCAAATTTAATTATAGATTAAGTTCATCTTAGTTAGATCAATGACATTCTTAATCGAAAAACAATTTGATATAAAAATAGCTGTAAATGTCAAAACTAAATACAAAAAAATGTTTTTCGGACAAATAAGATATTTAGAAGATTAAGAAAAAAATATTCTCTATATTTTTCTTTTGCTAGATTAGATATATAAATGCTTTTCTAGATATATAAATGTTTTTATGAATCACTTCTCATAAAATCGATTTCTCATGCAAGCTGAGAGAACATGTTCGATTATTGAATCGTATCCGTATGATATAATGATCTGATTGAGAATATATATTTTACAAAGTAATTTTCTCAATTAATGAACTTCTGCGATTCAGAGACTGGGATAACCCAGCTTCCGATGTCTATCCGCAGGATTTTTCCCACAGCGAAAACAGCTGTCGTAATGAGTTGCATCCTCACGTCCTTTTGCTCGTTCCTGTGCTTCTCCCCTCTTCCCCAGAACTTTATCTCGCCTTGTTCCACTATCTGACGGCGACTTTTTCGTTAAGACGATATATGCCCTACGTGACAATGCAAGTTTCCTTTATCGGCCGATGCAGTCCCGCGGGAACGAGTCTTCACCGATCAGCGTGAAAAGGAGGGGAGCCCGACGAAATTTGAGAAATGAGCCCTTCGACGGGCATAAATCGTAGCCGATAAGCCGGGGATAAAGACGAGCACCACCTTTTATTCGCGATTCTACTATGCTTCAAGCATTTCCCTTCGTTCTCCTTCAGATATCTGCGTATCTCCTCGGTTCTTCAACGAATACAAATTAATCGTACGTTCTCCATGCGCAACGCTTCGTATGAGAAGCATGCGAAGTGAAAAGTAAACTGTTTTTTAAAAGAATGTATTTAAAAGATGAATTTAAAATATGAATTGAAATAAAGAATGTATTTAAAATATGAATTTAAAAGAATGTTGCCTACAAAGTAATAAATTCCTTATCCTGAAATTCCATAACATTTCCTTGTTTTATGGCAGCCCTAAAAATTTATAATATTAAAGAAAAATTTCGAAGAAATAAAAACGGAAATTCGAAATTTTCAGCAAAAGTTTAAATGGTTACGTAATATCAAATTCTTTCTAAGTAGATTCTTTAGTTCCAAGATATCAAAATGTATTTAGATTACATGGGTCACAGACCGAAAGGAGGCTACGAAGAAGTTATGGGGAAATACGTGAGGTAGGTCGCGCAGGATGAAAGTTACTACAGCATCAAGGTTCCCTTGGAAATTCTTGGAGATACTTCTGGCACGGGAAGCCGAATTAGTGTGGCCCGTATTACTGCTGCAACACATTCGCTTTCGTTTCGATCTCTTTACAAGCGTTTCACCTTGGAAGGTTTTCGAAAGTAAAAAGATAGCCTCAAACACACAACACGTGTGTCCGTTTCCGTTACGACGCGTGACATTTGTCTATTAATTCGTTCCGATTTTCATTCATAAACAGTAGCGATACAGCAAAATTAGAATTTAAATAATATTGAATATTAGAGTATTGGATTAACAAATAATAATCTCAAAACAAAAGACGAAACAAAAATATATTATAAATTTTATAAAAATAAATTATATAAGCTAAGAAAATACTTGATATTTTTCTATTTTTATACTTGCTTTGCTATTCCTATACATTTTTGTCACTTTTGTTACCTTTTATGTCAAGGCTTCAATTATCACTTTCGCTGCTAATATAATCTTAAAATCTTTGCTTTCTATTGTAAGAAGATTATACGAGTATATCTCTGAACTTATGTATATCTCTGAACATTGCTATAATTTACTCTTAGAAATTTTCAAATTTGGTACCGAGTTTGATACTTTATAGTTCTTTTAATCAAATGATTTTTAATTGCTTTTCTATCAAATAATAATATTATATTTTATAAATCAATTATTTTGTGTATTAAGATAAATTACTTATTCAAAAATGAAAAAAATCAAAAATTAACTTTATCTATAAAAAAATACTAGATAAAAAAAATTGTTACGCAAAATTAGTGGAGAGAGGAGGAACCTATAACAAATTAGTGCCAAATTCGAGACAAAAAATATCTTATGTCGAACATATGGCAAGTCGCAGTGGATCGTTCCTAAGTTACACCGTTTGATTCGTCATCGTGAAACTGGCTTCAAAATTCTAGACGGGTCCTTCAACACATGCTTGTTTTTAATTTTACAAAATATTATGCAAAGTAGTTATTAGAATTTCACGAAAATTATAATAATTTTACCGTTTACATACATAAAATATCAACGATTAAATCCCAAACTTTTTTTATTAATAAGATACGAGTTTATTCAAATAACAAGAAAGTTTCAATTATCGATTTATAGTACGATATGAGATGCAATCTCGTTTAACTTCCGCTTGATTAAATAATGTGTTGCATTATTAAAAGCGACATTTCGCTACTTTTCCAAGTTACTACGTCGCTTAAATAGCCCACGTGATGTCGTGAAAGCAATTCGAACGATTGCGTAACTGCACGAGTATACAGTGCAAATAATAAAGACGATCGTTCGCGTGATTGTTCATAATGTCTACGGTGAAAGTTACAGAGAAAGTCTGTAATACGTGACGAAACAGCGCGCGCGACCGGACGTAATGCGAAACGGCACATTTATTTTTGAGCAACACTTTCAATCTGCGATGGGAGAAGGGAGAAAACGAGGTGAGGAGGAAAAAAAATCTTGCAGACCCGTTACGCCACAATTATGGACGTGATGAATGGCGATTTGAACTCTGGTAATATCCTAAACTCGACTATCCAAAAAATTAATACAATACTAATTTTTTTTAAAACAACATCGACACATACGAGCATAATTTGGAAACAAATTTCACTCAGAAATTATTCAGAATTCTTAATTAAATTCTATTCCTAGGTTCGCACAAGTTTCAAAAACTTCCCTAATAGCACAGATCTCCAAGAGACATTCCGAAGAACATTCGGAGGATATCCCTATGTCCTAAGAACGTTCACTAGAACGTCCCTCGAATAAAGTGTACTATTAGGGTTAACAATACCTTTGTACTAATAATATACATGGAAAAAATAGTTTTGCTGAAATCTAAAAATTTAGTTAGATACAGATCTGAAAATAATTTTGTTGGATCAAATTATTTATTATATATTAGACCAAAATAATTATGTAGGACGCTCAAACTGGTTGCTAAAATATCAAAACTTTTTGTACTATTATTTCTCATCATGTTACAGTTTTCTACATAATTATTTTAATAGTTCAACAAAATTATTTTCAGATCTATTAAAATTTTTAGATATTTCAGCAAAAT